CCCAGACCAACCCCCCCATCCCCCCACCAAAACCAAAATTTTATTACGGATTCGGGGTCCTCTCGCTGAGCGCAGAACGACTCCGGTTTCAAAAAAAAAAAAAAAAAAAAATTATGGCCGGTTTTTTGTCCTGCCCGGTTTACCCGGGCGGCCCCCCTGGGCCCAACCGGCTGGGCCCAACCCGGCAGGGCAGGCCCGACCGGGCGGCGTCCTCACTCAGACTTTTTTTCTTTTTTTTTGAGTTTTTTCTGAGTTTTGCAACTTGTTTGAGTGACTTGCTGAGATTCCCATATTCTGCTGAGATTTCTAAGTTTGTGTGTGTGCGTGATTGCTGAGTTTCCATGTGTTTGCCTGTCTGCATGATTGCATGTGTGTGTGTGTGTGTGTGTGTGTGTGTGTGTGTGTGTGTGTGTGTGTGTGTGTGTGTGCAAATGACTTGCTGTTTCTCTTCGCCTGTAGCCTCTCTCTGTCGAGCCATAGGTAGGACAGATTCGTAATTTCGTTTGGCTGAGGGGTAACCGAGAGACCTACGTGTAGGGGAAATTCGTGAGGGACATATCTGCAAATTTGGGAAACTATAGGCCCAGCACTAATTGAATTTCCTACTGCTACCCTAACTGCGAATAACAGGCCCGGGCTACCCTTGGACAGACAGGCCTGAAAGGCCTATGCTGATAGACGGTCCTATAGCCCATAGCCGGGTAAGGTAGAGGCCGAGAGGCCGAAAGGGAAACGGTATCGGTCGGTCAGTCAGTCCGGTCTAGGTCGAGTCTAGGCTGGTTTAGTCTATAGATAGGATGGGCACATCGGTTCAGGGTTTTTGGCAGTTGGTACCGAGTACATCGTTGCTGCGCTACGTGTGAACCGGAAGTGGTGATGGCTCAGCGTTGTGGGAGACAGACATAGCCAGACCTTCAGAGCGCCGGCCATAGCTGGGGCCTGCGCTGTACTCTGCCAGCACGCGGGGCTGTCAGAGGTCCGGGTTATTGAGGTCTGCTGGAGGCGAGAGAAGTTGGTGACCTGCTGGACCCTCCTCCGGAGTGGGGTTCCAGGGTTGCGGCGCTGCAGCCATTGCAGCAGCTTCTTCCTCAGAGGTCATCTTGTCAGGATTTGGTGGCGCTGCTGCAGACTTCCACCCGGGAAGTCTTTCGACACTTCGTCATCACCAGATACTGTGGTGCTGGTCTTCTTCTTCACCCTCTGTGTGGCGCTTGGCCTCAGAGGCCTGTTTCAGGGTGGCGCTGCCCTCTGGAGGCAGTAATTGGGTGGCGCTTGATGTTTCAGGGGCTCAGGGGTGTCACGAGTGGTTACTCAGGGTTGGGGAGTGAAGCGCTGCTCATTTCTGAGCAGCGCACTGTAGGTCTGAAGTTATCCTAACAGTTCGAGACTCTGAGTTTAATAAACAGTGTGATACTGGGCTTGGACTATCATCGTTTCATCGTTACTTGGATGTGATCTACTCGGCTTTCCTTTATGACTGGTTGTGAGGATTGAGCGGAGTGAATTTCACTTTCAGTGTACTCTGTCATATCGCATGGTCAAGTCTTCCGCTGTGTTTATCTCTCCCTGTGCGGTGTGATACTCCTATCCTCTCCCCTTCCTTCTGTGTATGTATGGGCATACCTGGAAGTCTATGCGTGTGAGTGTTGGTCTTCAGACAACAAACAACCAAAATCATAACAGTTGGTATTAGAGCAATTGGATCCAGATTCTGGAGCGATTGATGAGTTGGAGCAAACATCATCATCTGGCGAGATACTGGAGCTGAGTTTCATGGCGATTCATCATCTTCGGGGTTGTTGTCAATAAGGGTGGTGATAGTGAGTGTGTGGCGAGATGAATTGGGCAGAGAGTGACTCACTCCTGACTAGGGTTGTACAAGAGTGGTTGGCGATTGGTGCTCAGAGGCCTGAGAGGCTTTGAGAGGCTATTTTAGCTTGGCGATTCATCTGGAGGCTGGCGATTGGCAAAGGAGTGATCCCAAAAGGTTGCGATTGTGGAATTGGGTCAGGATCCCCAATTTCCAAGCAGCAAAGTACAGGGTGATGTGGCGCTGCACTGAAGTTGTCAGTCATCTGCACCTTGGAGTCCAAATTCGTTGAATCTGTCAGTTGGGGGTGAAGCGCCCTGGGGTAATCTGCTGGATCACCAAGTTTCAGGTAGTTTGGTATGTGGGAACACTATGTGTTATCAGAAGATGAAACTGGCGAGATGGGGTTGACCGGTCAGCCATAGCCAAAGTTTCATGCATCCTCTTCAGAGTTGACCCTGAAGTAAGTGTGTTCCTTACTCTATCCTGTGTGGCGATTCTGGGGCTATTTTTAGATTAGCGAAATATGGTCTGTCAGTCAGTAGACATTTGAAAATCGGAATTCAGACTGTGGGACGACCATATCCAACTTCCCCCACCTATCTTCTTTGACTTCTACTAACCCTGTTTGACCTCTTTTCTGGCTCAAATTTAATCTGTGATTGTTTCACAGTATTGCGATTCATACTGTGTAGTGAATTGTTGTGTTCAGGGTCCGGTTGTCACTAATAATGCAAATTGGAATTCTGCGCTGACATAGCTGGAGCTCGGCTAGACTAGGGTCAGTTACAACTTTGATTCTATCCGTCAAAATTCAATTATGTCAGTCCCTGGTAAATCGCAATTCGGTACTCAGCCTGTGTTTAAAATCGCACATCCAGATTTGATGTTCTGGGTCAGCTACAGTGAAAACTGTAATTCGCCATACCCAGGGTATGGCATACAGGGTCATACAGTGATGAAGTCTTCAGGGTAGGTCTAAAAATAGGATTTCCTATAAGTCGCAGTATCTTGGTCATCAGTGGATATCTGCTTATCTCTAATTAGTCACTCTGTCTAACTTCTAATCTCTACTAATCAATCCAGGACTACATCCTCCAATTGATTGATGCAAGATTTGCAATTATTGCATGCAATTGATGTGTTAGGGCAGGGATTGGAAAATCGTGAAATTGTTTTTTGCTGAGATCCCTACATATATAACAATCGCTAATTTTCGGCCTGTGACATTCGGACGATCGGGGCCCTGCGATTTTACACTCCGCGACGGTCCCGATCGTTTTCTGATCGTTTTCTCTTAGAAGTTAAACCGTTACGGGCGGCTCCGCGCCAGGGCCTGTACTGGGCCCATGCGCCAGCGCCGGTACCAAAGAGTGTTATCGGCCCTACCGCACGCGGTACCGGGGTGGTAGGTCCAGCGCCGCTACAACGTATAGAAACTATTGTGGGCAGTGAGCGTGCCCGAGGGCAGGTATACTGGACGCTCGACGCCTGTTCGACAAAGCTACTYGACTGAGCTACGCTACGCTACTCTAGGATCGACGCCTGTTTTTGACACTCAAGCTACTGGACTGACTTGTACGCGGCTCTATGCACGACTACGACTTCGCTCTACATTGGACACACGCGCACCCGCACCCGCACACGCACACGCACACACACGCACGCACGCACGCACGCACACACGCACACACGCACGCACGCACACACACACACACACACACGCAAACGCAAAAGTGGTGAGTCCTTGGCCATCCGTACAGTTCATCTTGGGCGGACTGTCGAGGTTCAACCTCCTGATGAGTCGGTGGAAGTCCGACGAAACAGCCTGGCTGAGTCATGTTGTGAGTTCTGTATAGCGAACATAACAACACTCACACATGCGCAGACTCACACACACA